AAAACGTGTATGAGAAAGGCGTTCGCCTTTATCTATCTAGTACTAAAATATTGCAATTAATACCTACCTAGGTGATAGTTACGACATTTTTACATAAGTTACTTGGCATGCGTCAAGTGGAACGCATACATACCTACATTACACGTATCTCTAAGCGCAATGTATCAAAATGTCTACTACAGGCAAATTGGGTACCAACATAGATTCATTTATTTATAATATATTTTTTATGTGATAGGTCGTCAAACGAGCCGACGCCGACGGATTACCTGATGGTAAGCAATCAGTGCAGCCCATGGACACCATGCAGGAAACCACTGACAGAAGTTTATAAACTAAACAATAAAAAACTTGAAGCTACTTGTAAAATCTAGAAAACGTTCGATCGATGTTTTTGTGAAGTTGTCCCTAAAAAGTATTTCTATATAAGTAGGTACTTTACAAACATGGTGACCTTGACAATCAGTTTGAATTTCACATGTTTGCTTCCTAACTATAACAATCAAAACAAATGAATCACCGTATCTCGAAACCTCTTGACTTTATCGGGCTCTTCAACTAAAAGTGAATTGTAATAATTCTATTATTTAAAAAAAAGGAAATGTATATGATTAGATAACAATATGGGCTGCTCGAATTATCTTTGAAATTGTGATAAAGTGAAATATTAGGGGCATTTCGAGATCATGTAGGTAGCTCCCGGGTTCAACAAAATACTCTAGCGCCGTTAAGTCGGCAACGGACTCGTATCTCCTATAGTGTTATGGGTGGTTTTTTTTTGTAAGGGGAAAATCATCAAATTACTTCTCCTGCCCTGGGTTGGGTGGGAGGGAGTGTCAGACCCTTATTGACTAAAAACGCTCCAGTTCCTTCTCCTGCTCTGGGCCGAGGCCGCAGTGCCTCATTGCGCTTACCCCGCAACCCCGGCTGAACATCATCCCTATAGGGCCCCGTCTGGTGTAATGGATGGCACTGATAGCTTATTATCGGATGATTCTTCTACTGGTTTGCTTGAATCCAGAAATACGATGACATCGTGAAAATTTACACGAACGGCTGTGCAACGTCTTCAAGTAATAACAACTGACATCCAGGGCTATCATTTAGCCGGGGTTGCGGGGTAAGCGCAATGAGGCACCGCGACCTCGGCCCAGAGCAGGAGAAGGAACAGGGGGGTTTTTAGTCAGTAAGAGTTTGACACTCCCTCCCGCCCGGCCCTGGGCGGGAAAAGTCATTTGATGATTTTCCCCTTACAAAAAAGGGCTATCAGCCATCTTGTTTTCCAAGGGCATCTCCTTCTTGGTAGATTGTACAATTCGGTTCTAATTTTGAAAAAAAACTGTTCTCCTAGTACGTATTTTAACAAATACTTACATCAATATATAAACATGTTAAAATACACGCACTTACTTACATGTTAATCACTATTTAAGTGTGGTAATTTTTATTCTTTTTTTCCTTAGCTACGATCCTTGACATTGCCATTATCGCCTCACTGTCATTACATTAGCACGTTGGAACGCCATTACCTATAGTGGCATTCAAGACAAACACGATACATATAAGTAAGGAAGATTTTGTTATAAATAAGTAGGTATAATGCCTATGTACGAACGTACAAAAACTAATTATTCTTGGCTGTATTTCCGAACTGATACGAGCTTCAATCCTTAAAGTAATGAACGTACTCCTTCTTAAAATGGTGGCAAGGCCTGTCTGTGACTCCTTTAATGCTGCGGGTGTCCATGGGCGACGCTAATCACTTACCATCATGTGGTTGGTCTGCTGAGTTGGGAAGTAGGGACCCTTCCGTCGTTAGCGAGATAGTTGAACACCAGTGCAAAGAAGGGGCGGACCGCTAGTTTTAAAATAAAAATAAATTATAATCTATTTATCCACAAAATAATACAGTCATGGTCACCTTACACAAGGTATAGGTGGTAGAGCTTTTAACTTTAGGTAACCAACCAGTAAGTGTGGGAGAGCCATGCTTCGGCACTACTGGGCCAGCTCGACCGGAGTGATTATCACGGCCTCAAAGAAAACCGGTGTAAAACATCCACAGCGTTGTTTCGCCGTGTTAGTGAGGTTGCCGGAAGCCCAATCCTTCCACTCCGCCAATACCGAAATCTCCAAAAGATCGGCAACGCAGTCGTAACACCTCCGTTGTTGTGGGTGTTCATGGGCGGCGCCACAGAAATATAAAATTATATCTATGGGCGGCGCTGATTGCTTGTCATCCGAAGTGATCCGTTTGCTCGTTTGCCGTCCTATCACATAAATAAAAACCAAAAGTGAAATAAGGAAATGGAAATCAATTCCAATACCTATTGCTCAGCATTAATTGCGACTAGGAGTGCAACCATCCGGCTAAAGAGGTAGTTCAGTCAAAATCCCTACGCGCCTTAAAGATCCATTATATCAGCACAGATTCTGATGGGTCCACTATATCCGATATCCAGCCGAGATTTCTACAATATACCGTGGCTCTGGCCTGGAGTAAGAGAAGGACTGTAGTTTTTAATCAGTAAGATTCTGCCCCACATAGGCCAGGAGAAGCCGTTAATAATTTTTCTCCCTCAATAGAAGTCACAGCAAAAACAAGTCATTGTAAACAATATTGAATATGAAAATCGGTGTGAAACAATGTAAGTGAGGTTACCGAAGGTTACAATCAATGACGATAGTGGTTATATCCTTTTTGGCTACAATCCTTCCCCTCACCCAATCCCAAAATCACGAAATCCCTTATCCCCAAAAGGTTGTCAACGCATTTGTAACTCCTCCGTTGTTGCGTCCATGGGTGGCGCTGATTACTTACCATCAGCGCGTTTGTTATACTATCACATAAAAAATGTGGGCTCTAAAGTCAAAGTCAAAGTCAATATCGAACGTCAAACAAAATTTTAGAGAAATAAAGTGTCAGTCTGTCGGCCAGTCCTCTTAGTGAAGCTATTCGCTCGTTCCAAATTGTAAATGTTCATAATATCAATGGTTTCACTATAACAACCAAACTTTATCAGATAGAATAATGCGTCATAAAATTATGACACGATATTTACGAAAACAAAAAAATATATATTATTTTAATAACAAAGGGCAGACATGTTCCGGTTTTAAACAAAAGTATTAACAGGGCATTGATATTAATCTGTAATTTTCATTGGGTAAATGACTCTTTTAATATTGTAGATAAAGGTTATAATCCAAATCCAAACCAATATTATAAATGCGAAAGTAACTGTGTCTGTCTGTCTTTTCTTCTGATCTGTGATATTTGGTACAGACATAGTTTTGAACTCCAGAAAGGACATAGGATAGCGTTTATACCAAAAATCTACAGGAAGTTACTATTCCACGCGAACGAATACGTGGGCAAAAGCTAGTGTAAAATATTTTGTTTTTCATTTTTATAAAGTAACGCCGCACCAATTTTAGTCCAAAAGTCGGAACGGTCGACAGTCGTCCGACAAGTTCGTTTTCAAAGTTGTAAGCCCTTTTTCACGACTTTGTGAAGAAAAAAAATGCGGTTGTAAGTAACTAGTCATTGCTCATTATAAGTGCCTTTAAAATACTATTAAAAATAGGGCAATATTGTTCTAGACTTATATAGATTCGCTATAACCATAATATAATTGTCCATTGATACGCAACACCTGAACCACAGTAATACTATTTACAATGCTTTGACAAATTGGCAATCGTTCAACACATTATGTAATTAATCACATCTCTTGATTAGATCAATGACACTACACAACATCACAAGAGATAGATAAATAATTTAAATGACAGTGTATTTTAAAATATAAAAAAAAATGGCGGACAAACAATTGTTAAGGCAAAGTTCGTTAAAAAAGCCGGGAAAACCAAATGTGAGAAGAAAAAAACAACATGTGCTCATCAGGCTGCCTGACTCCGACTCTGACAGGTAACAAAACATAAAAAAAAAACTCTATACTCTATAACACATTGACTAACTTTTGGCGCCTAAAATTGAAACTTCATTGATTTAATAAAATATTATGTGAGGCTGCAATAAAATTACATTTTTAAATTTAATCTGAATTCTCTTATTCATAATCCATGTTGTTTGTATTAAAGATAATACGCGGAAAATAGGAAAAGGTAATAAATAAAATAAAAATACAGTACAGTAATAATTAAGCGCCTGACAGTATATTCTGTGCAAAATGGTTTAAAAGCAGCACTTATTTATGTTCAATACTAATCAGGCGTTGCAGTAGATATTCATTTTAATATTTTTATATAGGTAACTATATATATCATACTTATAAAACCATAAATTTCTAACTGCTACTATATCGCCATCTATCTTTGTTTTAAATTAACGTGTCGAACGCTGAAAGAACTGAAAACAGCTGTTCTCCTTATCGATTTTCACAATACCCGCAAGCAAGTTCACTGTGTAATCACCTGCCATCTGATACGTCACTGGGTCCGTCAAACGTTTTATAATAGCCGTGTTACGTACCAAAATATTAATATACAACACGAACGAGTTGAAACTTTTTGATTGCTGCGTTTCTACTTATTGTTTCGTGGTGGAAATCTGATCAGAAGTGTTAAGGTTATGTTATTATGTGCCGCTGAACAGTAGTCGACCTGTCACTAACAAAACAGTGTTGTAAACACCATGAAGCATCCCTTACGCAGTGGCCTGCACAGGAGGAACTTTATAAGCAACCATGGTGACGATAGCCCTATAGATACGATACGCTTGGTGTCCCCTATCAATAGATTTGCCATATTTCAAGGCAACTTTAGTCATGATGACGATGATTACCCGGAGAAGTGAGTAATAATATAGTGATGAATGAAGTTAAAACATTTTTATCGTATACCTCATGTAGAACTAGAATTTGCTCATATTACCGTCTTATTTACTTACAAAAAATAAACCGAAGAGAATCTAGCAATAAGTAGTTCCTGCTATTCGATAGCAGATGGCGTTACTATAATCTTTCTTTTTGTTATAGGCCATACAAGCTCAAGACGAAAATAGTACTCGCAGCATTAGCAGTCCTAGTCTTCATATCAGCATTAAGTGGATACCTCATCGGAAGTGCGGACTATGCATCACGGAGGGCGGCGGAGCCTCCGGATCCAATCGCACCTCTTAAACCCTCGGCTTCCCGTCTCCATGTGTTCCAGAAAGCTGCTGTATGCACAGATGCTCCTCAGTGTTCACAAATTGGCAGGTACGCCCTTATTTTAGCCTTTTTATAAACTAACTTCACCAACTTAATATTTTCACTATTTACAAACGTTTTGGAATAGTCCATTTAAATGTGGCAATTAATTAATCAACCAAGAAATATTGTGTTTATAATATTACCCAGAACATGACTATGATATATGTATAGTATTATATTTATAGCATATAGGGCACCAGAAGGTGACCACCTAATAGTAGCCGTATCGGTAAGGTTAAGGTCGGTTTAATTGATGCGGTGGTATGATAGGATTAAGGATTAGATTATTTAGGTATGGGAGGCAGGACTGTTCCTTCGGTAACCTCTCTCACAAGGCGAAATGAAAATGTAATAATAGAGCTATCTTGACTCCGTATCTTCAATGATCTCCGTCCTACAGGGACCGGACCGCTACCCCTCCCCATCCCATCCCAATCCTTAAATATCCGAAACTATTATCCCCAAACAAACCGGCAATTGCTTACCATCAGGGGTGTAGGCTCGTTTGCCGACCTATAAAAAAAAACTAAAAGTGACCTCTGAAGTGATAGTGATAGAGGTTGTGGCTAAGGCCAGGGTTGCTGTCAATAAAGCACAATGATGTTCTGCACGCCCGGTTCGAAGCAGGAAAAGGATCAGAATGGTATTTAGTTACTGTCGGTCCGCCCAGGGTAGGAAAAGTCATTGGATGAATTTCCCCCTTTAAAAAAAGTCCTGCGAAAAAATAATGGTATTCTTTTGTAGTAATTTCATGATTCATAATACTTTATCAATGCGTGAATGTCATCGTTTACGATTATCTTCACAATAATAATTATATAATATTGCTTTCCGTTAATAACAAGTCGTCCCTAAAGGGTGCCTAAACTGGATATCTTCAAGCCCCAAGTGAATATTATGTTACTTATTTGGTAGATGTGATCAATAACAGGCTAAACGCCCATTGCAGGCCAAATAGGTAATAAGAAAATTATGAATTTAAACATGTCACTGTTTACTTTGCAATTTCTCAATATAAAACAGTAGTGTTTTTCCTCAGAATTTAAATTTGAAATATCGACTCGGCACCATAAACTTCAGGGTTAATGGAATTTTAACTAAGTTTTAAAATAATAATGATAAAGAACAATATTAAAAGGAACGGAATTTATTTCTTCACATCACACATACAGTAAATAGGAAAAGAAATACAGAAGCAGAGGTACATTGGTACTGCATATTCCTGCATATTATTTTGGTACCTTAATATGGAGTTATTATGTTTAGATTTTTAGATTTACTTAGATGTTCAGATTAACTTTCACATATAATAAACTTTGGTATACCTAAAGATATAAAGGATTTTTCAGTTGCCATATTAAGATTGCTAAAAAATTAATAATACAATTGCTAAGCCATAACCAAACTTTCTAGTTTCATCTTGTCAAACAAGTATGTTTAGGAAATTTGCTAGAACACTGTCTACACTAGAGTGTGTCGCTACTCGACACTAGATGGCAGTACGAGTCTATTATAGAAACGTTCCGAGTTGTCGTTCGCTCTCTAAATGATAACGTGTCGCTACTGTATTGAGTATTGACCGATAACTTTATAACTATTTTACGATAATACGATTTATGTTTACTTGGTATGCACACACTAGTTAATATTGTAACAATACGTGGTACAAACACAATAACATTGAGCCGGCATTCAGGGTTGCAAAGGTACCTAATACTTTTTCTACCAAATTGGTAAATACTTTGGCATCTGTAGCACTATAAGCAAGTACAAGACACATTTCACCTTTCGTCTTCTTGTTAATAATACGAACGAAAGAAGAACTTTTCTTTAAAAATACAATAGGTAATGTTAATATTATTTTTATCGAGGGACGTGAAATATGTGGCCTTGTTTGTTAAAGTTATTTCAGCCAATTTAACGATCATATACAAAAATACTAATCCACGTACGTATCTCATCAAACATAAAATTAAGTAAACTAAAATGTCTAAAGCGTGCGTTATTATTGCATAGCTATTTGAGTAACATTTTACGTCGTAGTTATTCATATACCATATTTTTCTTATGATAAGAAGAAATGTAGGTAGGTACATGGATCGATATTTTGGTAGAAAATGTATTTTAAAGCATGGTATCACAACCCGAGCCGGCTTACTCACACAGACACACTTCTATAAATAAACAAAACATCCTTCATAACCGGGTCGTCGCCGGTGTTTCCACCAATCACGAATCGAGAATTTTATCGACGCGCATGCGGTCAGTGACGTGTTGCTGGCAGCCTATATAAGAGCCGCGCCGCTATTAGATTCAACATTCAGTGAAAACAAAATCTTGAGTAACGTTGTCAGTTGTCACTGCGACAAATTCCCTGTGATTTCATTATTTACAAATATCAAAACGTAAATATGTCCGAAGCCTTCTTTGACGAGTACGACTACTACAACTTCGACCACGACAAGCACATCTTCTCTGGACACAGCGGCAAGCAGCGCACTAAGAAGGAGGTCAACGAGCACACCAACCACTTCGACCCCTCGGGCCACTCCAGGAAAATAGTCACCAAGCTGATGAACACAGAGAACAACAAGAAGTCAAACAAACATTAAATGGAGCGTTGACAGAAGGACCATGGCTAGCAAACGGATTATCGAGTTGCCGAGCGAAAGGAGGACATTATGGCGGATACCGGAGGAGAGCTCCGGCCGCTACTCGTCTCAGAGATCAATGGAGCATCCAAGGCGGTTCCTGCTGACGCAGGGCTTCTACCTGGCGCACCACACTAACAGACTACGGTACAGAGCGAGGACGCAGCGCCCCCGGTGAGCGACGAGCTCCGACACTTGGACCTAACACCGTTCCACCACTGATCTCAACTCTTATTATTATTTGAGCTTGTTGTAAAGCTCACAACTGCTGTGTTATTATTCCTAGTTAGATTATTATGATTCTGTATCTTTCCGGAGGTAGGTACTTGAAGGACTGTAATAATTTAAGGCAAATAAAAATTATAGTTTAAGACTATTCTGTGGTTTGATTTGTGTCGTTTGCTTTGTTTATTATTGAGGCGGAAAATCGGTTGTGTGCGAGGTCGTCCGCTGGCTGCGCGCTGGCGGTTGATCGGGTACATGTATCGATCGCCTGAGCCATGTTTATACACAAAAACAACCTTGAGCGAGCCGGCAGACCGCGAGGTGGCTGGCCTTGCCCGCGCATTATCTGCTCCACACCTACACAATACATTTTGCGGCGTAGAAAAATCGAACGACGAGTCGATTTAATGGCCGCAGTGCTTACATAATCAGATGGCTAGTTAGTCACGTTTGTTTTGTTTATTAAATTAATGTTGAGTAGTTTTTACACGATTCTTAAATTCTTGGATAGCCTGTCTGACTGTGAACACGTAGGCACACATCCGTAACAATAACTGAGTATGTGAAGTACGAATACAATACATACATGGAAACGTGAACATAATAAGCTAGTTAGCACGCTACACACTGCGTCTATGGCCACTTCTTGTAAAACGGAAAAAAGCATTCGTGTTGCTTAACCAACCGTTCAAGATTACTAATTGTTACATAGGGTACTGTGCTTCTATCTATCCACACATTGAAACACAGAGGTTCGTGAATAAACATTTACGTAACATTGGTACATTTCCAGTAAATTATAAATATACTAAGATTTTCAAATAAAAGTATCTTTTATTTCGTCAATAATAAGCCAAAATCAAAACAAAACTATGATTTGATTTTTGACTGACGTATTAACGGTCAGGGAAGGTTATAATCGTCTCGAATTTTATAAACATTTCTACGATGATAGCTTTTATTTGTATTTTAACTCTTATCTTGTTTGTTTTTTTTTTGTTATTCTTATAGCCAGACAGACATAATATTCCAATAATATCGTCAACGTATTTTATATACTTATACCTATTTGGTATGTACACATAATAAAATAGATAGTTAAGTATAATTGTCCGGTCATAATAAGGACGTCTGGCTTTTGGAATTTCAGTCACGTAGGCGCGCATCGATCAATAATGTTGAGAGCTCAACCTAGTTCTCTGAAATCCAGACTAATTTTAGTACCTAACAGATGAAAACCCTATTTTCATCTAGATTTTGGATCTAGATGGTGAGGTTTTCTGTATTTATCATGTCGACTTACCTTCGGTTTCGTTAATGTTTGTTGGAACAGAACTGGTTTTTTTTTTTTGAAGAATAGATGTTTGGTCTACCTAGGTATACATATTAGTGTTTGTATGTACTTTTAAACATGTATGATAGTATAGCAGCTAGCAACGGTTTCGAGAAAGAACTTTAAGTCTTAACTTTAAGTTTTTTTTGATATGTCGTCCTTCTTGCACTTTGTTAGAGTCTGGTATATCTGGCTGGCGGTAGCAGTTGCGTTCATTAGTGCACATCCTACCTGTCCAGGTAATAATCCTCGATTTTAAAAACATTTTAGAAGGCGTAATTTTATAAGAAGTATTCGTTACATTAGGAATAATAAATACCAAAAAGAGATCTATGAAGATAGTCCACATGCAGTCCACAATTTGAATTTATTATTTAATATACTTATTATTTCTTTTAGGCACGTGATGGGATATATTTAGAATGTTTCACTTTCGATAAAAAAATCTTGGTGATTTATTCATGGACCGTTTGACTAAGAAAAAATAGTTTATTTGTATATAATACAGGAAAAGCCTATTTGGTACCATTCAAACCTTAGATGTTTTTATCTATACTTTTACTTATACATGCAAAAGTAACTCTGTCTGTATGTCTGTCTTTTCCTTCCGCCTAAACTACTGAACCGATTTCTGTGAAATTTGGTACAGATATGATTTGGAACCCAAGAAAGGACAGTTTTTAAACCAAAAATCTGCAGGAAGTCACTATTCCACGCGAACGGAGTCGCGTGCAAAGGCTAGTTCTGAATATATTCCTCTGTTAATTTCGTTATCCAGATATTAAACGTACTCACCT